TTGCCTCGGCTTGGAATGCTTGGCCCCAGATCCTCACACGATGGGCTCACACCACTGCTTCCGTGGCCACCTCAACTCTCCAACCTCACTTCCAGTTCTGTTACATCACCCTGTGTCTCTTCCTCAGAGCTCCTATCACTTGTATGTGGTTGTGTCTCTGCCCCCGGTCACTAGGGTGTCAGCTTTTGGGGGAGCAGGAGTCTTGTCTGCTTACTCACAGCCATATCCCTAGTGGCCAGAATGGAGCCTGCATGTGGTGGGTGCTTGGTAAATGTGTGTCAAGTTAGTGGATGGTGGGGAGTGAGACAAAGGAAGATGCTGAGGATGATTTCAAGCTTTCCTAGTTTTAGTGGCAGGGCAGATGGGTGGTGAGGGGACACTGGAGGAGGAGGAAGCAGATTTTGGAGGTGAGATGAGGTTGGCTTTGGACTGAGGACTTCGGAGTTGTCCACATGCCACAGTACTTAGGCAGTCCTGGAGGCTCCGGGCTGAACTAGCCAACCATCCGAGATAAGAGTCCGGGTCTCTGTTGGTCTTCAGCAAGCCTGTCGTGCCTCAGCTGCCCCAGAGCGCAAAGATCTTGGCCAGGCCTGATTCCAGGCTGGGGGTGAGCTAGGATGTGGGCGATGCAAATAAGCTGGAGACAGGGTCCCACAAGGGCTCCTGTCGCCCCAGAGCTTGGCCTCTTTACTTGGAGGCGTCCATGTGGACTTTGGAGGTTGCATTCAGCTAACAGAGGCCTTCTCAGAAAGCTGTGGGATTCTCAGAATTGTGTCTCACAGTGTTGTGCGGCTCTTCTCATTGGCAGGGAGGGTTTGGAGAAAGGATCTACGGAGAGCTTTTCTCATCATCTTCCTCCTGAGCGTCCTTTGAAAGCTCTGGGGATCCAGCTGAAAAGAGCAAGGCCCACTTCCCCCCATTTCTTTTCTAGATGATCGTCACCGGATTGAGGAGAAACGCAAAAGGACATATGAGACCTTCAAGAGCATCATGAAAAAGAGTCCTTTCAATGGTGAGAGGGGTAGTGGAGAGCATTAGAGAGAAGGTGGTGGATGGGGGAGGGAGCTAGGAACTGGGAGCTAGGGACTGACCCAGCCTTGCCCCACAGGACCCGCCGACCCCCGGCCTCCACCCCGGCGCATTGCCGTGCCTTGCCGAAGCGCAACTTCTGTCCCCAAGCCAGGTAAGGATTTCCTGTTGCCCCACTGGAACTACAGGCTCAAATCTGTTTGGCCTGTGGTTTAGACACCTGGGTTGGGGGGACAAGCAGTCAGCTGAAGCCTGCTCTCTGTTGGGCTCATGTTTCTCAGGGCTGCAGGCCTAGTTACCTACATCCGAGCCATTAGGGAGTGGTGAAGATGTGCACTCCTGGGTCCCGTTACTGACCTGTGCAATCGGAGGCTTCGGAAGTGTGGCCCAGCCAGCTAATGCACTAGCCAATGAGCACTGCGGGCTGAGAACCACTGTGTCAGCTAAATCCCATGTTGGATGCCTTGGGAAACAGTTTAAAAATGCAGTCTTTGCCTTCAGCTTTCAGTTGAATTAGGGAATCAAAATTTCCTCTAATGTAGCAGAACGTATGTGCTGGTCTGTAGCTCAAAAAAGAGTAATGAAGTGCCCTGGTTCAGGCCACGACACTGGATGCTCCTTGATCTCGTGGTCTCTCGGGACTTAGTTTTCAGCTGTAAAGTGAACAGCATCCCTTCCTCTAAGAAGCTGGGAGAGCTTTGGGGGCTGGAGGAGGTGAGGATAGAACTGCGTAGGTCAGGTGGAGTAAAAGGAGGGAGTGAGGGTGCTGGCAGGGACCTCCTAGGGAGGGGCTGATCCTAAGCCCTACCGACAGGGGCTGGGGCACAGACAGGGTGGGTCTCTGAAGCTCTCTCTGACCCCTGACTCTCTGTCTCTCTCTCCCCAGCTCCCCAGTCCTATCCCTTTACGCCATCCCTCAGCACCATCAACTTTGATGAGTTCTCCCCCATGGTCTTTTCTTCGGGGCAGATCCCAAACCAGACCTCTGCCTTGGCCCCAGCCCCTGCCCCAGCCCCTGCCCCAATCTTAGCCCCAGGCCTTGCTCAGGCTGTGGTCCCCCCAGCCCCCAAGACCACCCAGGCCGGGGAAGGGACACTCTCAGAGGCCCTGCTGCAGCTGCAGTTTGATGCCGACGAAGACCTGGGGGCCCTGCTGGGCAACAGCACTGACCCCGCCGTGTTCACAGACCTGGCATCCGTCGACAACTCTGAGTTTCAGCAGCTCCTGAACCAGGGTGTATCTGTGGCCCCCCACACAGCCGAGCCCATGCTCATGGAGTACCCTGAGGCAATAACGCGCCTGGTGACAGGGTCCCAGAGGCCCCCTGACCCAGCTCCTGCTCCCCTAGGGGCCTCTGGGCTCCCCAACGGCCTCCTCTCAGGGGATGAAGACTTCTCCTCCATTGCAGATATGGACTTCTCAGCGCTTCTGAGTCAGATCAGCTCCTAAGTGGGTGACGCTTACCCCGCCCGGAGCACTGGGTTGCAGGGGACTGAAGCCCTCCCGAAGCGGGCACTTCCGGATTCGGGGGGGGCGGGGTGTGCTCCACCTGCCCCCACCTTCTTTGGGTAATGTCTTCCGGGGGGGGCATTTTATTCTTTTATTGGTAGTGTCTATCTCTCTCTCTTTTTGGAGGTGCTTAAGCAGAAGCATTAACTTCTCTGGAAAGTGGGGAGCAGGGAGGACTCAAACTCTTCCCCTATCCTGATGTTCAGCTCCCTTCTCTTTATAGGGAATTCTGGGGGCTCCCATCCGTACCCTCCAGCTCCTAATACTCTCCCAGAGAGAGGGACAGGCTGGAGCTATGGCCTTTGAGGCCACAAAGCCTTATCACCAAGTGTCTTCCTCAAATCCTGGATTATCCCCACCTTGTGCCAAAATAATACTCCTTACCAGCCCCTCTGTGGCGCTGGCATTGTCCTTGAACCAACACCAGCATTTGAGGGCCTGGCCTGGCCTTGCAGAGGTCTCTGCCGGCTCTTCCCTCGCTCAGCCCTGGCCCTTCCCAGGATCTAGGGCGGTTCGGTCTGAGACACCTCTGTTCCCCCTTTTCTCAAGTGCCTTAATAGTAGGGCTAGTTGTTTGGAGAGTAGGGGGGAGGGCAGGCTGGCAGCTCTCCAATCAAGAGGCGCAGTTTTTACTGAAGAATCGAAGCAGTTGGACTCTTGCTCTTTCTACTCTGAACTAATAAATTCATTGCCAAGCTGGCCGGAGATTTCCCTTCTTTCAGCAAACAGCACACTCTTTGCTGGTCACGTCAGGCTGGACATAAGTGATACAGAGCTGGATGAATATTTGCGTTGCCGTCTAGAAGCTTGCAGTTTGAGGATGCCCTGGGAATGAAATGCGGGGGCATGAAAGCAGGCAGCTAACGTGGGTGGTGTCCCAGCGTCGTGAGAGGCCAGCAGGGCCCATTGGCGGCGGGAATGGAGTAGTTTCAGGAAGGGCGTCACAGAGGCCCCATCAGCTTTAGGTCTTAGGCCAACAGAGCAGGGTGAGTCTTTACAGAGCGGCTACCAGCGTTTGAAAGTGAGGAGGGTAAAAGAGAATGTTGGAAAAGTTTGATGGGGCCAAGCTATAAAAGACCAAGGACACTGGACTAAGAGGTTTGAATTTCATCTCTTGGATTGGCAAGGGAAAGTCTGCATCTGTTGGGGAAGGGGAGATTCCAGGTAAAGGCCAACCTGGGCCATCCTGTTCTGCGGGGGCCGACGAAATAAACCTGCAGCCCAGGGAGGCCTAAACAAAAGCTAGGCCACAGCCCGAAGAGGGGGAGCTGGACGTACTTCCGGCTTGGCCTGACGCAGGCGCAGTAAAGCAGTGTTCGTGAAAGGCCTTGGCCCGCAGGACCCTGCCTTCCCAAGTGCGCATGCGCAGAGATAGCAATCTGTGAGGGGCGGGGCAGGTAATGCGCTGCGGGGAAACCCCCGTCCTGAGACCGACGGCGTCTAAGTTCTGGGCTTCGCACTGCTGCGGGGGGGTAAAGGCAGAGGTTGTCAGTGGGGCTTGTTTGGAGCGCGTCCCCTGGGACCAGCAGGCCCTGGCTGCAGACTCCGATGGACTGTGCCTGCAAGGAGGACGCCAGCGGGCCGCGGAAGGTCGGGGTACCAGAAGGCGTCTGCGGAGCCGAGCTCGCGCTCCAGCCTCTTGCCCAGGGGGCGGAGTCAGGGGTGGGGCCCGAAGCAGGTGGGCCATTCAGGGACCAGGCCAAGCTGCGCTTCCGGCAAGAGGCTGCCCCGGCCCACCCCCGCAAGCGTAGTCGCCAGGTCAGGACCCCTCCGAACCTGCGGGATAGCACCCGGAGAAGCGGGGCTTGATGGAACCCCAGCACCGGGGGCGTGGCTAGGGGGCGCCCCAGGAGGGACCCGGAAGGGTGAGAAGGGGTGAGAGGGCTCCTAACCGGAGGAAGCGGTCGGCTTAGCTGAGCGCAGTGTGCCCAGCTTGAGGACCCAAGGGGAACGAGTGAGCCCTAGTTCTCCCGCCCAGGCCACGCCTCTCCCTTGGCTTTCCCAGTGTCGTACAGTCACCTCTTGGGGTCAAGGGAGCGCCGGCCTACAGAGAGGAGATGCGGCCTGCACTGGCGGGCAGCGCCTGGAAAGTGAGGGCCTTTATATCCGGGCATAGTCAGGCTCTCGTTGATGCCTAAACTCCATCCCTCCCCTGCCCTTCAGGGCCACCTCTGTCCCTCTGCCCCTCATCTCCGTTCCTCAGGTTTGGTTCCGGGGCAAAGCTGGCTCCCATAACAAAGCAGAGTAGGTGCGGGGCGTGACCATCTGCTTCCCAACAGACCAAAAAAATGTGAGAGAGAAACCAAGGGGTGACCCAGCTTCAGAGAACCCCTCAGTGAGCGCCAACCTAACCCTGAGCCAATGTTCCAAAGGCCTGTCCTAAGCGGTCCTGGGAACTTGGCTGGAGCCTCTGGGGGCAAGACCCCTCCCCTGTCGTATCACGAACACCCGCACAGACACAAACAGTAGTGGCTTCTTTACTCCCTGAAGTCCCCTTTTCTCCAGAATATTTACAAACAGGGACGGGGTGAGGGCGACTTCACCACCAAATAATGGGCGGGGGGGGGGGGGGCAGTGCTAAGACGCGCCTCGGAGCGCAGGGAGGGTTCCTGAGGTGGGCCCCGGGCCCTGCTGTGACCCAGGCGCCCCGAAGGGCCTGAGCAGGCGCGAGCAGGTCCGCAGCTGAGGCTGGACCAGACGGCTCAGGCCAGCTCGCTGGTGGGGGAGCCCAGCCGCTTGGAGGCCAGGAGCAGGCGGGTGGCTGCGCTCTCCGATTCGGCCTGCAGCCTCCGGTTGTTGTGCCGCAGGCTCCGCACCTCCTCCTCCAGGGCTGCCCTGTCGGCCTTCTCCTGGGGCGGGGGGCGGCAGGTGTCACGGGGCTGGCTCCTTTCCCGGGGCAGCCCTGTAACTCCCTGCCGACCCCCAGCCCACCCCGTCACCTTCTGCAGGTCCTCCTGCAGCTTCCTGAGCATGGACTCCAGGTGAGAGACCTTCTCGGACAGGCTCCTCGGTTCTGGCCTGAGGACAGAGGGGTCAGGTCACGGGACCAGGTAGGCCGCAGCACGGCCGGCTGGCTCCCAGACCCACTTAAATGAGACAGGCCAGCCCCTGTGTTCACAGACTTCCGTGGCGGGGAAAGCAGAGCCCTGCCCGGGACAACGCTCAGCTCTCGGGTACGGACACGGGCGGCGACCACACGCGCGCAGGGAGGAGCTAGATCGGCACAGGGAGGCTTACTCAGCGTCAGCCTTTGGAGTTCCCTTGGCGTCTCCATTCTCCGGGATGGGCTGTCCTGTGGGGACACAAAGATCATTTGGGCAGGGAGGTGAAAGGAGAAAGAGCCCCACCCTATCCTGGGTCCGACGCCCAGCGCCCCAGTGGCCTCACCCTCCCGGGACAGTGACTCCAGGATGGTGTTGCAAGTGGAGGCGATCTCCGAGATAGACTGCCACTCGTCTTCCAGGGTCTCACTGCCTGCCTCAGACATGACTAGGGGCACAAGGACGTGGGCTCAGCCAGGGAAGCCCAAGCCAACCCCTCCGAGCCCCCCACCCCCCCACCCCACACCTCGCTCTAGACTCACTTTTGCTGATGGAGTTCCGCAGAGACAAGGTTCGTGGCAGGAAGGAGGCCCTCAGCTCTGGGGCCGGGTCGTCCCTGTCCTCACAACCACGGGGGCTGCCTGGCCCGTCCTGGGGGGTATTAATGGGTATGGATACAGTGACGTCCACCATCACCACTGTGCCCACCCCTGTTCTTTGGGCTCCAGAGTCTTGTTTCTGCTCACCTGGGTGGGGGGTGTCTCTCTGCCAGTGCTGGGTGCTGCCGGCTTGGCCGTGGCAGCCAGGAGGAGGTCCGGGGTGGTGTTGGGCAGGACTGGAGCCTCGTCTGACAGGGAGCTGGGGAGATCAGGGACAGCTCAGCGAGAGAAGCTGCACCCCATGGCCCCTGCTTTCACGGACCTTGCCCGTCCGGCCTCCCTGTGCTACAGAGGAGGGAAGGCCGAGCGGGGGGCACCTGCGGGGCGACGGTGAGTTCTGGCTGTGCAGGAACTCAGTCCTCTCCTCAGCCAGATCCCCAGGCCCTGTGGGACTGCCACCGTCGTGCAGGCACACTTGCAGCAGCTGCCTCGTGATGGGCAGCAGGGTCAGGACCCCCGGGGCCTCATCCGGCACCGGCTCCGGGGCCCCCCGCCGGCTGGGCTCCTGCAGAGATAGCGTGTACAGCTCCGAAAAGCTCCTGCGGGGAGGAGGGGGCGGTGTCAGGCAGGAACCCCCCGGCCCCCGTGTCCGGCATCTCCGGCCCTCCTCCCAGCCGTGCGCCAGGCTGCCTTCCGGGAGGAGAGCTCTCCAAACTCCCTAACAGTGAGAAATGTTTGCCTGACTACTGGCCATTTTCCCAGCCCCAGCGCTGCCCCTGTGTATCCCGGGCAACTCCCTCGGACACCGATTTCTCCAGCTGTGAAATGGGGATAACGATACCGGTTCCTAGCTTGCTGCGAGGCTTCAAATACTAAGGCAAGTAGATCACTTAGCACCGAGATCTAAAACCTACTGCCCAGGGGGCGCCTGGGTGGCTCAGTCGTTAAGCGTCTGCCTTCGGCTCAGGTCATGGTCCCGGGGTCCCGGGATCGAGCCCCGCATCGGACTCCCTGCTCCACGGGAAGCCTGCTTCTCCCTCTCCCACTCCCCCTGCTTGTGTTCCCTCTCTCACTCTCTCTCTCTGTCAAATAAATAAATTAAAAAAAAAAATCTTTTAAAACCTACTGCCCAAGAACCAAATCCAGCCCGTGCCTTTCTGTTTTAGCAGCTGTGACCACTTATGTACTCCTCTGAGCCAAGAGTGGTTTTTACGTTGTTCAATAGTTGAAGGAAATCAAAAGAATATTTCATGACACGTGAAAATCAAGAAAATTCGAATTTCAGTGTTCACAAATAAAGTTTTAGTGGAATAAAGAAAACTCATGCATTTACCCATCGTCTACGGATGCTTTTGTGCTACAGCCGAGCTGTGTACCTGTGGCAGAGACCAGAGGGCCCAGAAAACCTAAATATTTACTATCTGACCCTTTACAGAAAAAGTTCTGCATATCCTGGCTTAACGCAGCAAGTAACCTGTGGATGATCCTTAAAGAAAAAAAAAAAAAAAAAGATGGGGCTATAGGGGCACCTGGACGGCTGAGTCTGTGGAGCATCTGAATCTTGGTTTCGGCTCAGGCCTCGATCTGGGGGCTGTGAGACCCAGCTGGCGTGGGCTCTGCGCTCAGCGGGGAGTCAGCTTGAGATTCTCTCTCTCCTCTGCCCACCCCCCCACCCCCCCAGCTCGTGCTCTCGCACTCTCTCTAAATAAATAATTTTTTTTTAAGATTTTATTTATTTATTTGAGAGAGAGAATGAGATAGAAAGCATGAGAGGGGGGAGGGTCAGAGAGAGAGGCAGACTCTCTGCTGAGCAGGAAGCCCGATGCGGGACTCGATCCCGGGACTCCAGGATCATGACCTGAGCCGAAGGCAGTCGCTTAACCAACTGAGCCACCCAGGCGCCCCTAAATAAATAATTTTTAAAACTAAAAACGATGGGGCTGGCTGTTAGATCCTGAGCAGTGAAGCCAGCCTGCTTAATTGGCCTCACTCTGCATACGTGACTCAGAGATTACGAGACATGGCATTCTCTTGAGCAGGAGAGCCTTCCTCACGGTAGGTATTCCCGGGAGAACGCTAATGGTGACCCGGGAGGCACAGGCTCCGCGGTGGCCAGCGGCCAGGTCCTCCCACCTCCCCGCGTCCCGGCCCTGACCTGCGGGGCCGGCCGCTCTCGTCGGGGGGCAGGACGGTGACGCAGACCTTGGGCGCCGAGCGCAGCAGCTGGGCGGCGGCCTCGGAGCCCAGCGTGGGCAGCGTCTGGCCGCACACGCGCAGCAGGCGCGCCCCGGGCCGCAGCCCCGCCGTCTCGGCGAACGTGAAGCGCTCCACGTGCGTGACGAAGCCCTCGGCGTCCACCTCGAAGCCCAGGCGGCCTTGGCCGTCGCGGGGCAGCGCCAGCTCACGCGTCTCGCAGCCGCGGCTCACCAGCTGGGGCGGGGCGGGGAGTGAGCGGGGGCCGCGCCGCGCCACCCCCACCCCCGGCCCGGGTCCCAGGCCGCACGGACCGCCCCACACCCACGCGGCAGACGAGGGCCTGGGGCTCAGAGACCAGAGTCACCTGCCCGAGGACCTCCTCCCCGCCCCCCCCCAGTTCCAGCTTTGCCAAGCGCCCCGCTGTCCCCTTTCGCGGGAGAGGCGGCGGGAGCGAGGCGTTGCAGCGCCCGCTCGGCCCCCGAGGCGCCGAGGGACCCGGCGGCGAGTGGCCGCCCTGACTCCCGGGCCTCACCTGCAGGCGCGCCACGACCTCGCCTACGGCTTGGCCGGGGGGCCCGTCGAACCGCAGCGTGATCGCCTCCCCGCGGCCGTGGTACATGTCGAGCCGCTGCTCGGAGAAGGTCCAGGCCAGCACGTCGCGACAGGCGCAGTTGAAGACCACGCGGCCGTCGCGCGGCGCCACCAGCACCAGCGCCTCAGCAGAGACGCCCAGCAGGCAGGGCACCTCGGCGTCGTCGGGACCGCCGGCCTCGGCCCCGGCCCCTGCCGCGCCCCGCGCCCCCGGCGCCGCGCGCACGCCCCACACCAGCGCCCCCGCCGCCTGCAGCTCGGCGCCCGGGCCCCGAGGGGGCGCTCGCCGCCTCCCGCTCAGGGAGGGCAGGCCGAAGCGCGAAGCCGAGTCCAGCGACGTGGTGGTCACCTCGTTGGTGGCCAGGTCCTGCAGGTACTGCTGGCGCGTGCGCGTGGCCATGGCGTGGAACTGGCGTGCGTGGCCCGCTGCCTGCTCGCCGTTGAGCGCCTTGGCCAGCAGGAAGGCGCGGAAGTCGGCGTTGGCCGCGAACGGGCCCCCGCCCTGGGGCAGAGCTGGCCCAAAGGCCGGGGTGTCCTGGGTGCGGCTCACGGCCACCCTGAGGGGAGGGAGGCGGGAGTTAGGGGCAGCCGGGAGGGCCCCTGACAACGGCGGGACTGGAACCGCCCAGGCACCCACCGGTACGAGGTGTGCGGCGTGCAGGGCGCGTGAGCCCGCACCACTAGGAATATGTGCTGGAAGTGCGAGCGGATGGTGGTGGGGCAGAAGGGCTTGCTGCCGGGTTCCTGGAACACGATGCTCACGATGTCGTTGCCGATGTGGCGTTTCCGCAGGAGCTGGGAGTTAGATGGCGGGATGTAAGCTGGATCTGTCTGTCCCCCAAGCCCCTCCTCATTCAGTCAGGGCAGAGCCTGGGCGTCAGTGGCTCCCCCACCTGCCCCTGGTGAAGGTCGGGTGTTTGTCTTTGGGGAGGGTTGTTAAGGCTCAAGAGAACTCAGGCCAAGGCTCAAATGCCCACCGCCCACACAACAGCCCCGCAGGGTTCCCCAGAAGCCCTTGGCCATCCCCCAGCCCCATTCGAGCCCCCGCCCACCTGCTGCTGGTTATTGGGGGTGTAAGGCAGCATCGTGGACACGTGGAACATGATCTCGTGGTCCTGGTACGTGGTGTAGAGGGAGTGCGTGCCTGTGGAATCCGCTGTGGCCAGGGAGTTGGGGACACAGAAGGAGAAGGGGAATCTGCTGGAATTTGCCATCCCTACCTGCAGTCTGGAGCTCCCGTGCTCCCAACCAACAGGTGGACAACCCCTTCCCGCCACTGGGCCATGAAGTCTAAGGGCCTCAGCCTTGGCTGCTCCCTTCCCCTCCCCACCACAGGCTCCAGCCTCCAGCCTCAGGTCGGTGTGCGGGTGCTGAGATGGAATGAAGACCAAAATGAGGAATGGCCTGCTATGAGGGAGGCGGGGGTGGAGGTCCCGGGAGAGGACAGATGTTGGCCCCGGCACCAGCATGTGGGGAGCAGCTGAGTGTGGGAGGCAAGATTGGTGCTCCATAAGGGGCCCTGGGGCGCTTCCAACCAGGGAGGCAGGGGTGCTCCCCACAAAGCTGGGCTGGTGGACTACGGGTGTGGTGTGGGGAGTGGTGCCCGCAAACCCCCTGGGCTCCAGCTCAGGCAGTAGGGCATCGGGGCCTTGGGGGACAATCCTAGTCCCTCCTTCCAGCCTACAGCTTGCTTGGCTTCTGCAGCCCCTGACCCGCGTCCTCAGCCTACCCAAAGGACTCTGCAACCCCGAGCCCAGGCCCAGGACAACACAGGGCGGAGAAGTGACACGGCAGCTGGTTCTCACCAAGGCTGTCTGCCCCCACACCCCAGCCCCCGGGCCTCACTTTTGGTGTCCAGCTGGGCCCGGTAGCTCTCAAAGCCTTTGAGCCGCACCACGTCGCCCAGCAGGTTGAGGAACTGCATGAAGGCCGGTCCCGCCTCCTGGTTATTGTACATCTCCTCCTCCGAGCCCTGGCCCGCGCGGCAGTACAGGATGCCCACCTTCCGCTGGAAGCTCAGCTGCAGGGGCAGGCACAGGCAGAGAAGGCCCAGGCCTCAGTCTCTCGGGCCTTGCGCCCACCGGGTCTTGGGGAATGACCTGGGGGCCAGGCTGTCTCTACATGTGGCCCTTAGCACCACCCTCCCTAAGCCTCCTCCGCGTCTCCACATATAAAAGGGTTCGGTAGGTCCTGCTACCAGTGCTCGGGAGGGTAGAGAAGTCACAGGTGGGAAGGGACCAGGAGGCGAGTTGGTTCTCATGTGACCAGAGAGGAGGTAATTCGTGGAAAGGACCCCAAGCAGGGTGTGCTTGATCCCAGTAAGTGTTCACACTGTCATCCTCCTTATCTCAAGGCTAGCCTGTCCTCCCCTCCCTCGAATCCTAGCACCCCCAGCCCAGCCCAGCCCAGCCTCTGGAAGCCTTGAGCCCTGCACCACCTTCGCTCACCCTGCTCCTGGCTCCTTTGGCTCCTTTCCGTCGGGGGTTAATCGTGAAGAGCTCAAGGTGCTCTGGCCCTTCCAGCTCGGGCCTCCTTCCTTCTTAGGAAACTTGTCTATACCCACAGGCCCCACTTTAAGTTCGTCCCTCCAAACCCCTGCAGCTCCCCCTCCACCCCAGCTCCCCCCTTGACAGCCCACGGACATGGCTTCCTCCTGGCACACTCCCACCGTAGTGGGCACTTGGAACAACTGGAACTGACCTTTGCCTGAGACCCTAGCGACCCCACTGTCTCCAGCCTGGGCCTCTTCTCCACCATGGTCTTCGCCCTCAGTGACTGCAACAGCCGTCTCCATGGGAACACGCTCCAGTCTCTACCTCCAGCCCAGACCTTTCTTCTGAGTTCCAGACACACTTCTCCAGCTGCCCAGATGTCCATCCCTCACCTCATCTCCTCCCTGCATGCTTCCATCCCACCCTCTACCCCTGGACTGTCCCCTCCCCTTCACCTCTGCCATCACCGCCAGTCTGGCCTGGATGACTGCAACAGCCGTTGGCCTGGCCTCCCTGCTCCCATACTGCAACCAGAGGGCTGCTCTACCTCTCATATCTTCCATGGCTCCCCAGTGCCTCCACCACCAAATGCAAGCCTTCCCCACCCCTTCCCCCCCAAGCACGACTCCAGTCACACAGAACTGCCTACAGGACCCCAATGTGACCTGCTCTCAGTCTCTAAGCTTTCACACAAGTCATTCCTTCTGCCCAGAAAGTGCCTGCTCTTTCTGACTCAAATTCTTACATTTCTACCATGATGCTAAGCCCCTAGCCAAGGCAGGACGAACCTTGGTGCCCCATGGAGCCTTTAACATTCCCCTTTCACTGCTCCACGATCACCCACGATTCTCTGTGGGGCTCCCCCCACCCACCCCACCCCCGTGGGCTGTGAGCTCCTCAAGGACAGCACCTGGTCTGGACATGTCCCCAGCATCCAGTCTGGGGCCTGGCACCAAGGTGTGAGGAAAAGTTTGTTGAATGGCTGACAGACTGAATGACACAGAGGAGGAGAATCAGAGCCAGTAGGCAGCTTTCAGCACAGGCTAGGGAAGGACTTCCACTGTCCCACGGTGGAATAGGCAGCCCCAAGGCGTAAGCACCCCACACTGAGAGGAGACTAAGCAGCACCTTGCAGGGCAAGTGGACAGGGGATGAGAGGGGCGTGCAGGAAGGGGAGCGGGTGGTCAGACCAGTGCTTCTCAGCTGAGATGTACATAGGAATTAACTAGAGATCTTCTTAAAGTACAGCCTCTGATTCAATAGATGGGGGTCAGGGCCCCAAAATCTGCATTTCTAACAAGCTCCCAGATAATGTGGCTGCTGCTGGTCTACAAATTTTACTTGGAGAGGCAAGGTTCTGGATGACCTCTGCTGCCCTCTCTGAAAAGCCAGCTCTCCTGGGTCACCGTCTAGCTCCGGCTCAGGGTCAGGGCTACGCGGCTGCGAGCTGGACAGACTGGGTTCCGATCAGGTGTAGCTATTGGGCTGGGGGCAGGGGGGTGCGGGGGTGGGGCGGGGGCCGCCGGCCACTCACCACTTGTTCGTCCAGCGTGAGCAGCGTGCGTGGCACCTTCGGTGAAGCCGAGCCCAGGCGCAGGCAGGTCGGGCTCAGCCGCGGAGCCACGTATTCCAGAAGCTTCCTAGGGGACAGGCCCCGCGGGGGCCCCGGCGGCAGCGCATCCTCCGAGATGGTGCCGCGGAGGGTCCGGAGCTGAGGAGGGGATGTAGGGACGCTCAGAATCCATACAGGTTTTCGAGGAGGCAATCCGCGGTCTGATCGCATGACCCCGGCCCACCTGTGTGGTCCGCACGATGATGCGGTAGGTGTGCAGAGTGCCCCCTCCGCTGCCTTCCTTCTCTTCCCGCCGCAGGCTCACTGCCACCGGACCCAGCACCTCGTCCAGTCCGAAGAAGTTCTGATGTTCTGGAGGGGAGGGCCCCCCCGCCCCGCCCCCCGGGCCGTGAATGACCGGGTTCCCGCCCCCCTGGGAGTCCCACCCGGGCTCGACCATGCCCATCGCTAAGCCCCGCCCACGCTCCCATCTCATCACCTAGTGCATACCCTAGACTAAGGCCCACTCCCTCCGCTGCCCCGCCCACATCCTACCTGGCCAAATCCCTTTCGGTGCGGGCTCCCTGATGCTTGGCCCTGTGCCTCGCCCCCTCGGCGGCCCCGCACACAGCACATCTTGCCCCCGGCGCCGGGGGCCGAGGCCTGCCTGCTTCCAGGCCTAGATCCTTCAAGGCCCCCCCGCACTCCACGCCCATGTTCTGCGGCAGGACGTATGCGGCCCTCCCTCCCGGCCACTGTCGAGAACAAGGTTCCCACAAGGGTGCAGAGGTTTTCAGACCTCAGTTTTCACCTCGCAGAAATGCTGGTAGGAAATCTCTCCCCAGCCCGGAGGGGTAGGAGGATGAATCAGACGGAGGCCGAAGGCCTTTGGGAAGGTGGTTAAAGCTAGGCTCCGCAGGGCAGTCTTGGCCCCAGAGGCAGAGCATGATCCTTCATATGGCCAGGAACTTAACAGGGAAAGGACAACTCATGAGCCCTCCTGTGTGCCCCTCAGGTGACAGGGGCTGCCGCCCAGCCAGGCAGCGCCCCCCCCTCCCTTACCTTTGCCATAGAAGTACTTGCGGTAGTAACCAGCGCCCAGGTCTGCATGCTCCAGGCTGTAGGCTGAAGTCCGGTTCTGCGGCTCCTCCAGGACGGACACGGCGGCGTTGGGCAGTGCAGGGGGCACGGGTGGGGACACGGGTCCACCCAGGCCCAGCTCGCCCTCACCCCCGAGCTCACTCACAAAGCCAGGCGCCCCGAGCAGCAGGTCCGAGCTGGCAGATGGGTCCTCAGCAGAGGCCGGAGGCCCAGAGCCGGCCTCTGCGTGGCCCCCTGTCCCCCGAGGCTTGGCAGCCCAGTCAAAGAGCAGACTCTGCACGTCATAGTGGGCAAACCAGTGGGGCTCAGGCACTGGCGGGAAGGCGGGCTCTGGCTCCTCGGCCGGCAGCCCCAGCAGGGCCAGCGGGTCCGTGAAGAGCCGGGTGGGGCCCGCGGCAGGGCGGCTGGCCTCCTCGTGGCTGTGGGCACGGGCACGAGGGCTGGCTGGCGTGGGGGGCCGGGCCTCGCCCGCGTCGCTGCCGCTGCGCAGGAGCGGGCCCCGGGCCGGCCTCGGCTCGAAGGTGTGCGGCGTCAGCGGCGGCCGGGCAGGCTGGCGCAGCTTGCGGGCGAAGAGGTCATCGGTGGGCGCAGGGCCCGCGCCCCGCCGAGGGCTCCCCACGCCGCCGGCCCACATGGGCGCGCTGTGGGCCTGGCTCTCCGGGGGCCGGGTCGCATTGGCGGGCACGGGTGGTTGGTGCCCAGGCGGCAGGCCAGTTCCTGCCCTGAGGGAGGAGGGGGCTGCTCAGAGGGGCCTGGGGAGAAAACAGGAACCCAGGCCCCCAGCCTGGTCCTCCACCACGCCGTTGGCTTCCGGCCCCCTCCGCGACCATCAAAGCCGCTTCCGCTTTCCTGGCCACTTCCTTGTCTGCCTCAGGCTGAGGTTTCCAGCCCCCTCCTCCAGCTAAGCGCTGGGCAGGGCCAGGGCCTGGGCTGTCCCGGCCTTGGCCCCGGGGGTCTTGGAACCTGGGCAGCACCCGGGCTGCCAGGGTCCCTCAGTTCCCACTCACACACCTTGGCTTTGGCCTGGGCCCAGAATGAGGGTCCCCGCCAAGTCCTGGCCCAGTCAGATAGATGATTTGTCCCCGCACGGACGGGAAACCCATGGGGCCACTGGTGTCTGGGTCCGGCCCACTTGACAAAGGGAGGACGTCCTGTCCCCAGAGACCTTCCTCCCTGCCCCTCCCACTTCCTCCAGGGTCCCTGAGGAGCTGAGCACCCAGAAGCCGAGTCTCAATGCCCTGGCCCTCATGGCCTCAATACCTCAAGGACACAGGGGTTCCCAGGGGGCACTGGCAGGGCAATAGAAACGACAAGAGGACTTCCTTTGGTACAGGAAGTGGCCCCAACTCTGAGCCCAGCCCCCTGCTCAGCCCCATATCCTGAGGAAGGTTCTGGGATCACACCAGTGCAGTCATGGGACCCATCACCCTGGCCTGAAGGACAGGCCCAGCCAGGCCCACTCTCTGCAGGTGACTGCGGCCATGCCTGGGGGCAGGGGAAGGAGTCACATGGATGAAGCTCCTTTACAGGAACTGGGACCATGGGACCTCTGCCTACCTGGGCTCACTGATACTGACGGGGAAGTCTGAGGCCCATGTGACAAATGGTTAAATTGAGGTCCAGATAAGAGGAGGCTCTTGCCTGAAGTAATTCCACATTACAGCTAGGATTTGAACCTGGGTCTGTCAATCTCCCAGGCCTAAACAGTGCAGTACCTGCCCACTCCTATCCCTGTGTGGGTAGGTGTGAGGTGAGTGGGGGTTGGGCTGAGGCTCAAAGTCTCACAGGATGTCAGACTGAGACACCCAAGGCGCCCGTGACCTGCTAAATGAGGAAATGCGTCAAGACCAAGGGCAGATGCAAAGGGTGATGTGAGAAAGTGGGGAGGGGAAGCCACCGCAGGTGAACCCAGGTTGGTGTGGGCAGGCAGGGCAGGGATGTGGGACCCTCCACTGGGAACACAGACAATTGCTGGCAGGTCTTCGCGCATCCTCCAGTGACACTGTGTGTGGCTGGGCTAGGACAGGGTGGGGGCAGGGGCTCCGTGCAGCCCTCATCTAAAGCTCCAGGACCACGCAAGGGTAGGCCTCCAAGCTTGGGGTGCCTCCTCCCATAGTTTCTCCTAGGACAATGTCTAGCCTCTGTTCTCTCATCTCTAAAATGGGGTTAAACCTTCTGCCCTTTGCCAACACCACTGGGAGACTGAAAGGAGGTTCAAGAGTGTGAAGCTGGCCATGTGTTAAGTATGTGGTGGTGAGGCAGGCAGGCCCTTGCTCTATGTGCCAAGCTCTTGGGTCTGGGCTGTGATGTGTGTGTTGGGGTGGGAGGGGACATGAGAGAGGGGAGCTGTGGAGGCCCCTGTTCCGTGTGAGCTGAGCTCTGTGTACGTGTGTGTGCACAGCCCGTGGGCTGCCTCTTGTTCTGGCCCAGTGCTGGGCTCTGGCCCTGCCTTGGGGGGTGTGCTTGGGCTCTGCCCCCCACCCGGCGGCTTCACACAGGGTCCATTGAGGCCGGGACATTCCTCGCAGCCTGTGTCACTGGGGGGAGAGGGCCGGCCCCGCCCCCACAGATCCGGAAGGCCTGGCTGCCCCAGGAGGAGCCGCTGGACGCTTCCCAGCACATCTGGAGGTCATGACCCCATTTCTGCTGCCAGGGGGCGCGACAGATGTTTCCTCCCAGGCCAGACCCAAGACTGGGGGGCGGTGAGGGGTGGCGGTGTGCAAAGGCTGGGGAGGAGGCCGCCCTGAGATCAGGGGAGCCCCAGGACAGGGGGAGCCCCGCACACAGCCGGCAGCAGGGGCAGTCGCCAGCGCCGCCCAGAGGAGTCGGGGGCTGCCGCATCCAGTCGCCCTCACACTGGCCGGGCAGGGCCGGGCCGTCACGCAGAGGAGAGTGGGGGCCGCCGGCCGGATGCAGGGGACTGGACGTGCTGACTCGGGACTGGAGCCCGGACGGAGGTTCGGGGGGGGTGCAGGCGGCGAACGCGGCAAGGACCCTCCTTCCACATACACACCACCCGGGCCCACGCCAAGCCACCTTTACCCCTGTCGGGCCCGACCGCGGTGCTTCCACTCCCCCGCTCCCGCCGGTACCTCTGGGGCTCCCGCCTGGTGGCCGCCTCCCGCGCTGGGGTCCCGCAGCCTCTCCCGCTACCGCTCGGGCGCTGGCTCCGCCTAGGGGCGGGGCCGGGCCGGGGGGCGGGGCCGCCGCGGAGGGGGCGGGGCCGGCCTGGGAGCAGTCCGCGGCGGGAAGCCCCGAGGGCGGGGACTGGAGGCCAGGCGTTGGTAAGGCTGGCGCGCAGTCCGAGCACCTAAACAGAGCCAGGCCCAGTCCCGCGCGCTGTTGCGCCTCCAGCCTCAGCTGAGAAACGCAGAAAAGTGTACCTGCCTTCCAGACCAACTGGGAGGGTTACAGCAGGACTCCTAGTGTTTAGCAGCCCCTTCCCCTCGGCTCGCACCAGAACACAGCAGGTGCCCAGAAACAGTGACTATGAGCACTTACTAAGCACTAGACCCTGCTCTCCACACGCTCTCATTCTTAAAACACCTTAGGTGTCCTCTCTTCTTTATAAGCTGGAGAACTTGAGGCTCAGAGAAAGGCTTTCGCCAAGGTCAAGGCTGATAATTTTAGGCACTAGCCTCATGAGCTGGAAGTCTTTGAAAATATAGAGGTGAGAAACTGGACAAAATGAACTTCAGATCAAGGTTTAAAAAGGACTTTAAAAAGACCTGTGGGCGCCTGGGTGGCTCAGTTGGTTAAGCGACTGCCTTCGGCTCAGGTCATGATCCTGGAGTCCCGGGATGGAGTCCCGCATGGGGCTCCCTGCTGGGCAGGGAGTCTGCTTCTCCCTCTGACCCTCCCCCCTCTCATGCTCTCTGTCTCTCATTCTCTCTCTCTCTCAAATAAATAAAATCTTTAAAAAAAAAAAAAAAAGGAATAGACTTGTGAGGGAGGGGACCTAGGCCTACCTGAACCCCACTTGGGTCTTACCGCTATCTCCATCATAACCCAGCCCCACATTCTTTATCCCCCTCTCTGTGCTCATCTACCCTAACCTGGCCACTCTCCTCTACCCTCCACCCAAACATTCCCAGTCAGAAAAAGAAAACACCAACCAAAATCAAAAATAGTGTTATTAATTCTGGTGTCTCCGAAGCACAAAAAAAAAAAAAAAAGAAAGAAAGAAAAAAAGAAACCACCCTTCCCACATTTCAGCCCCAGGTCCAGGCCAGGGGGCTGCCCCTGCAGGCAGTGCAGGCCCAGGGGCCAAGTCAAGTCAGTCCTGGCCTCGGGCTCGAAGCGGGACCAGCCCATGGGTTTGGCTTTTAGGGCCTGGCTGGGAAGCTGCCTGCCTCAGTTTGGGGAGCCCAGGCCCTGGACTAGGGATGAGAGATCAGGGATCAAGGTCAGAGATCTGGCCCACTTAGTTCTGATACTCTAGCTAAGGCAGCCAGAGGTGAGGATTCAGATGTGGAAGCCAAAGCCACTCAGTTCTGTGGTCCAGCAAAGGGGCCAGAGACCAGGGATCCAAGTTGCTGAATCCTGGGGCTGGGGCTGGGATCCAGAGGGTACCAGGCCGCTCAGTACTGATGCTCCAGCAGGGGCTGGGCGGCCGGGCTCTCGCGCTCCTCAGCAGGGGCAGGCCAGTCACCCAGGGTCCCAGTGGGTGTGCCACTCTCAGGAGCACTGCTGTCCAAGCAAGGAATGTCCTGGGCCGCCGCTCTGAGGGGCGAGGAGGCGTTGGTGCTGATATCCGGGCTGAGGCTGAGGTCTAGGGGCGCCTAGGAGAGGGGAGAGAGGTTGGTGGAAAAGCAGACCTGAGTAGCTCAGGACGCAAGCCTTCCACAGGACCCTTACCTGAGATTTGGGAGTGCCTCCTTTGGGGCTCCCTGAGGCTGGCTCTGCCTCAGAGCCCCCTAGCCCCTTCCGACCCCCCAGGCTCCACTTCCCACTGGGACCCTCAGAACTGAGGAGACCAGGGCCAGGGGGCCTTGAGGGCCGGGGACCCTCAGTGGGGGCGGGGGAAGCAGGGGCTGCTCCAGGGAGCCGAGGGGGCGGCCACTGCAGCAGAGGAGGGGGGCGCCCATCACCAGAGCCGCTCAGGGAAGGCCGAGGGCCCCAGCCTGGGCCGGGAGGGAGGGGTTGGTCGCCACTGCCTGTGGGAGACAGATAAGAGAGTCAAGATCTCCACGAGGCTGCTCTCGCCCACTGGCTCAGGCCGGCCTTGCCAGCTCACCTGCTGTGTTCTCAGGTGTGGGGTGTGCCAGGGGGGGGTTATTGCTGAGGGAGGTCAAGCCGCCGCCTCCGCCACAGTCCGAGTCGTCCACGTTCCCACCGCTGTTGCAGCCGGCACCACAGCCCTTATGGAGCCTGGGATGGGGGTGGCGGGGGGGGGACAGGTTGGCAGGGGGAGGGCCCGAGACTGCAGAGGCGCAAGTCCCCAGCTCTAGGACAAGCCAGCTAACATCGCTGAGCCCCAGGATCCCATCTCTAAGAGATTTTGCCATCTACTTTGCAGGGTCTTCTAAGAGAGGCATTATCGACGGCTCTGAAGGCGAAAGGCCACCTTCAACTGTGGGAGCGCAGCGTGAAGGCGGGTCAGCTCTGGGATGGTGTCGGCTCTGAGGGCCCAGGCCTGGCTCCAGCACTTCCTCACTCTGAGCCCTAGGAGGAAGTTGCTTCACCTCGCTGAGCCTCTGCTTCCCACTCCAGGACCTCAGCCCCGCGGGCTCAGGGCGGCGTGCAGGGCTCACCTCTCCCAGCTGTGCAGAAGCCAGCGGGCAATGGCACTCAGGCTGACGGGGCCGCCCCACAGTGCCCGCAGCTGGGGGTGGCTGCCGGCCAGCGAGGTGGTAAGGGGCGACACATAGATGGGGTAGCCCAGTGGCTGGTCACAGGAAGAATTGATCATGTTGCGGAGCGCCTGCTTGGCATTCTGGATACTGCCGCGTTCAGGGTTGCGGTTGCGCAGAAACACCAGCTCCTGCTGCTGCCCGGCCCACAGGCCGCGGACGCACTCGCGGTTCACCTGCGGGCGGCCACGCACAAGGGTCAGGGGGCCGGGCCGGGGGGCCGGCGGGGCGGGGAGGCCGGGGGCAGGCGTGGGGGGGGGGCCGGGGGGCCGGCGGGGCGGGGGAAGGGCCCTCCCTCCGCACCTTGATGACTCGGAAGCTGAGATGGCGCCGGTTGAGCATGATGATCTTGTACTCGTCGGAGGCGTCATCCAGGACGTGGCGCAGAGCCAGCAGTGAGGGTGTGTTGCTGAGGATGGCGCTGCGCCAGGCCGGGTCACCCTCATGCGAGATGACCAGGCGCTCCTCGTTGGCGGCGATGGCATCGTACAGGGCGGCCGGCTCCTCGTACTCATCTGGGGATGTGAAGTGGTCCTGCGGGGCCAACGGGATGGAGGCTGGGTCAGTGGCCCCTGCCCTGTGGAGGGGCTTCATCCCCCACAGGCCCACCCTACCTGGGCACACCTCTCCCCACCTGGTGAAGCTTGAGGGCCATGCGAACCCCGGGCGCCACCACACGATGAAGCAGGTCCATGTCAGCGAAGACCCACTCATCACGCGGGGAGGTGATGCGGAAGTCCCCCTTGAACAGGGCGTGCAGGCCGTAGAGGAAGGGCTCCAGGCTGGGGGAGAGAAGGAACAGGGGAGCGTGAAGGTTTCGGAGCTCTGGCGTTCCACACAGGGGTCTGAGCTGAGACCATTCTTCATGCTGGGCCTCTGCTTCCCCATCCTGACAAGGTTGGTCTCTGTCTAGGTCCCTCACGGGGTGGTGAGGAACGCACAAGGTCTAGAACTGGGAGGCGCCTTGCCCACAGGGAGGAGCCGCCCTTAAGGAAGGGCTGATGCGGTTCCTGGGGGCTGCTGGCCCAGAGCTCTTTGCGGAGAGGATAGAGGAAAACACAGGAGACCCGGCTGGACCTGTGGCGCTCACCTGGCAGACATGCTATGCGAGGCTGTCCCCAGGGCCCGTCGGCCCAGCACACACAGGCCAAAACACAGCGTGACCAGCGGCGAGTTCCAATCTTGGTCCACAGGCTGCAGCACAAGGACCCCGTCCCCAGAGCCCCACTCAGATCCAGGACAGGGAACTTGCGGTGGGGGCAAGGGCCCAGACCAAGGGAGGCTGAGAGCAAGAGGACCCGTACAGGGAAGGGAGAACTTGGGAGTGGGGCAGGGGGGGCAGCCCCAGGGTAGTGGGGACCGGACCTGGCTGCGCCGGGAGGCACAGTACTGGATCCACTCAAGGTGCACCGCACAGAAGGAAGGCAGTGAGAGGCCGGAGAGGCGAAGGTCATAGTCCTCATCCACACTCAGTGAGAAGGTGGGGTCCGAGTCAGCGTAGCCCGGCGCCCTCACGGGCCGCAGGGCTGCTGCGATGCCCTCATGATTGAGCCACGCCTCCAGCTTCGGTGAGCGGCTCACGTAGTAGATGATGCTCTGGGAGGAGAGGGCAGGCATCAGAGCTGGGGCCAGTGACTGGGGTCATGCCCTAGCCACGGAAGAGAAAGCACCAGGATGCGACCTAGGACACCCACCTCGTGTCTCCTCTGAGTTCCCTGAAGCTACACAGGCTAGTCTGCTCCCCTCTCCGAGGCCAGGGAGGAGAAGAGAGAAAGCTGCCAGGAAGCAGCCCCCCCTTAGTAAGCATCCCCTGGAAGGTTCTGCACTGTGGCAAGTGCTCGCCTGCTTGCTTCAGAAGATCCCCCATTTGTAAGACACTGAGGTTCAGAAAGACAGCAGACTTGCCTGAGGTTACACAGCAGGGCAGACTGAGCTAGGATTGGAGCCCCCAGGACCTTCCACACCATTCCGCTGTGGGATCCAGATCTCAGAGGCCTTGGAAGGTCAGGCTGAAGTAGTGGGGCTGCCTACAGGCCAGTGGGGCCTAAGTGCCTGTGGGTCCTGGGTCCCTTCAGGCAGCTGAGGTCTGACAGCCACGGGGCATTCCTCTCAGAAAAAAGGCAATGGCACGTAACCTGTGTCCAAAGTCAGAGGCTCCTGTACCCTTTCAGGGGATGCTTGTTGCTGAACAGGGGTTTGAGCCAAC